TTCTACTTAGTTAAAGCTAATTTAATACAAATTCATATATGAATACAATAAACAACTTGGGCAGAATTTCTCTATGACAAAACTTTATTAGACATTTACATTACCAAAAAAAAAATCCTTTGTGATTTAATCACTTTCTTTTTAAAAATCTTTTTTTTTTAAACATCTCAAATTCCAAAAATGCTTTATTGTTCTTCATTCCCAGTTAGAGGAACAAAGTATAGATCTTATCGATTTTACTTACTACTTCAAAAAAGTACCCTATTCAACTTAAGGCAGAATCTATCACCAGTAAGCATATAAATAGGCTCATTCATCATTTCCTCCCCAATAACACACTTCTGATTCTCCACCATATTAAAATCATTTTTAATCATAAAAACTCTTAGTACGGCCCTTCCCTGGAGGCACAACGGGTTAGGACGCAGCACTGCAAGCTGGCAGCAGCCCCTCAGTGCGAGTTCGATCCCAGCCTTGGACGTGACCCACATGGCGTGGCAGACCTCCCCTGGTCTGGCGGCTGCTCCCCTCAGCAGTGTGCTTCATCGATCTGCCTGTTCTCCTCCCCACACTCTCTCTGGTGAATCCTCTCACTGCCCCTCACCACTGTCCTGTATACCAGTTCTGTATGCATAAATAAATAAAATTTTTTTAAAATTTTGTACTTATGTACTTACAACTTATAAAGTCACTGTCTAGCAATGACAGTACTAAGTATATTCATTAGAATCTAATTTAACAATTTCTTACCTTAAACATTAATTTTCTAATAACTGTTTTTCAGCCAAAACTTCATGAAAGAACGACCTGACTTAGACACTGACTTTTTAAAACAGTACTCACATATATGACTAATGGTATGTTTGCTCAAATATACATTTTCATTTAATAAGATTTAAGTTTTATTTGTAATGGCGGTTCACCTACTTAGTGACAACATTTATTCTCAAAACAAAGATATATTTATATAGCCTTATCAATGAAAGGTCTTTTCAAAAAATAACAATGTACAAGAAAAAGTTTGAAGAATAAAATAAATGCTAGCACAATTCCAGAAGATCACCTTCTTCACTCAGAACTTTTTTTCCTTAGTATTTCGAATGACATTATTAACAATGACCGAAATACTTCCTATATATAATTCATGTTTTTACTGGCCTTGTTTACAAGTAAGCTTTAACATACTAAATAGTTTTATATTTGTTCAAATATCTCTTACTGACTTTAAATCTGTAGCTTAGTGCAATAAAAGTATATATTACTAGAATAAAAAATGATTTTAAAATGCCCTTTCCTAGAAATCTTTATCTCATTTATGCCACTGTTAGTGAAAACCTAAGCAATGTAATGTAATCATTAACTAAATTTTGTGGTAATGAACATTAGCAGTCACTAGCAAATATGGAATACAATATTTCCTGTTCCATTGGCTATTTAGTACATTGTTATACATGTGTGTAGTCCTTATTTTCCAGATGTTTCCACTGAGCTTTTATAATGGTAGAACCAGTGTGTTCCCTCAATAAATAGCTCCTTTCTAAATAGAAAAGAGTAGGTAAAATATGGCACATCTGAAATAAAGTGAACCTGCTATGTAATTGTTAAGACTGATTATAACATAATTACCACTGATAATGTCAAAATATTATCCTACATCTGCCCCACATCTTGTTTCTAGTTTCAAAGCCACAGAAGGTTGTTTATTTCCCTCATGCTAGTCACTATAGCATTATCTTTAGTTGCTGTTATAAATAACAATAGAAGTTGAATACAACAGAAACAGATAGACTAAAAACTGTATCTAGGTGACCAAAGACCAAGAGATCTTCATTTTCTTTAGCAAATCAACATAAGCTAGTTTACTAACAAAGATAAGTCTTAGAGATGGACAATACTCCTTAATGTTTCCATGACTTGCTTTATACATATATTTGCTCATTTTTCTGGTTGACAAAGAGGATAAAGTACCCACGTTACATTAACTATCATAACCCTATTTCCAAGATAATAAAGCAAACCAAGAAATAAATTCCTCTGTGAAATACTTTCCTTTCTACCATTATTCTTTCAAAATTCTAATGCATAATTATTTGATGAGAAGTTCTAACAGTATGCATACTATATTTGCTAAATTCATAGCAGAACATCTAGTAGATGAAAGGTTTCAAAATATAATTATTTCAACAGATCATCAAAAGTCAATTAAAGACTTTAGAAATAACACACTTTCACCAAAATACAAACATACTGTAAAGTATGTGCATGTATAGATGATACCATCCACTACCTCTATAAAACAGACTTAGATAAACTAATGTGAAACATGCATGAGGATATAAGTCATCCACCTTTTAAAAAATCACAAATATAACTCATAAAATAAGTTTTAAATGTAGGCTCAACTCAGTTCCCTTAAGTATGAAATCTTATTACTTAACCATAAATATTAAGCTTTTGTAATAAACCCACTTTTCACAGAATGACAGCTAACCTCCTTTCTCTGATTATTTTCCATGTTTCAGAACTCCATCACAGTTGACAATATTTATATCAACAATTTCAAGTAAAAACCTCAGTTATTTGTGATTTCAAATATTCCTTTATAATTAAATCCTGTTGTCCTCTATTGCTACTTCTCCCAAATCTGCAATTCCTTCTCATTCCTTCAATTACCTCTTTATTCCTTACTCTAAACTTTCCCCTCTAAACTACTGTACTTCATTCTCATGCGATGGTTTCTCCATATTATCGTTAATCTCACTGCCAAAGTAACCTTATCTCCTTGATATTTTATCTGTGCTACCTATCTAACCACCTGAACTTTTCAAAGTCTTTCCTTACATTTTTATTTTGCTGAAGAACCTCATCCTCAACATTACATTCATTATAAGATTGTCACTGACTCTCAAATCCCTTTAAAATGCCAGTTTCTTCTTACTTCTTGTAAATGCACTAAATTATTTCTTCAAATATTACTTTTGCTTCTACTCACTGGACTGTGCAATTCCTTTTACATTTTACCCGTAGACATACTAAATTAATGTGCCAAATTAAAGGACAATAATTACATACACTATTTCTTAGTTGTCTGAAATAGTGTATTATTCCTATTGGACTGTAGAGATAAGATAAAGGCTGTATATCTTCCAAAGCACACAACACACCTGTCTACTACATCACTTGAGTCATGTAAGATGATTCACTAAATAAAAGCATTAGGGAAAGCCTAAATAAACAAAAGATGTTTTTAAAAATCTCTATAGCTTAGCTTTAAAACATCTATGACCTTTCATCTCCATGAATAGCTGATATATTGTGGTTTCTATTAAGTCTTGCTTTCATTACTCTATTATAAATTTACAAAGCATGACTGGAATTTAAAGTGCAAGTTGAGAGTTGATATAGGGTATATGCATTTTTACATGCCATTAGTAGATTCTTTGAAAATCGGTAGTTAACTCTAGAATTCTGACATACAACTGAATCTTCACATAAGGCAGTCGTTTCAGCACCAAAAGAAGGAACAGCGCATCCTCTACTTTGGGGGGTTCTTTCCTGCAACTGGTTTAGTCTAGTTTCTCTATCCCAGGGGCTTTCGATCAAGAAAGTTCAATAAATCGCAATTAACACCTGGAAAGAATATAAGGAAAGGAAACCTGTTTACTTAAAAGAGAAGAAAGACTGCCATGGATAGCTCCTTTTCATTAACCCAGCAGCCACCAAACAAATTAAGCTTTGCACTTAGAATCTACCGACACAGATTTCTTTCCACCTAATAATAAAAGCAAGTCTCATTCAATTTAGTCCCTTCTCGAGCACCGTCTCAACCTGTCAGATTTTGACAAGGGGGAAAAAAATTAAAAGGGGGGGGGGGACACTGGGATTTCCCATCTACCTCGCTTCATCAGTAAGTCTAGGATTTCCTTCACTCCGAACTAAGCCCTCGGGTTCCAAATATAGTTTTTTTGAACACCCCCACCCCACCCGCCACTCAATTACATACACAAAGCCTCGCCAACTACAGAACCACAGCAGAAACCCTACAAATCGGCTTGCTATTCATCTCGGAAGTCATGCCCTGCAGCTACTGCCTATCGCCGAACTGAGGGATTTTACCCAAATACAACGCAACGGAATCAGACATGCAGAGCACACACAGCTTTAGGAAAGAGCGAAAGGCGACCCGGGAAAAGTGCGCTCCTTGTGAACCTCGGGACGATACCGAGGAGGGGTTCCCAGAAGGGAGGGGGGTAGGGGAGACTGAGCGGGGAAATCCTTCCCTCCTAAGTAAAAAGCCGGATCCCGTCACTCCAAGGAAACCGAGAAGCGGGCAGAGAGAGGGCCCTTCGCTCAGAAAGGCAAAATGCAGACACTTTCCGAGGTCCGAGGCAAGCTAATCCCTCACTTCCTGGGGGAGACAGGGGTCTCCCAAGGGTGGCTGAGGAGATGCTCGGCTAGAGAGCGGCAGCTCGACGGCAAGCAGAGTTTCGCCTGATGAACACCGGTGTCGTGTCCGGCCGGTGCCGGGGCAAGCACAGCCAGAGCAACGTGGTGCTGTCGCGGGGGTAGGGGCGCAGGGAGAGGGGGTGGCAATGGGATTCCCCCCTCTCCGAGACCGGCTTTAGAGTGGGGAGCACCCCAGCCAGTAGAGAGCGGCGTGCGGAAGACTGCGGAGCCGGGATCCCGCCGCCTGTACCGGCAGCAAGGAGCCCCGCAGCGCCCGCCGCACCGGCCCCTCGGTCCCCGGGGGCCAAGGACTTCGGTTGCGAAGGCACCCGGGCCTGACATCCCTGGGGGCCGGCGCCAGTTCCCGAGGGACCCCGCGGAAACACCCCAACCTCCAGCAGTTCTCGGCGGTTGTAAAACGCCCCCCCCACCCCTGACCCCCCTCTTCAGCCTTCCCTCCTCCCGAGGCCGCAGAGAAGGGTCATCACAAGCAAGGAGGCAGGGGCAAGTCGCGTCCCGCAGCCACGGTGGTCCCTACTTCCTCCCCTGGTTACCTGTCAGGACTCCAACACGGATTTGATGGTCGTGGTTAGTGAGAATCATTCCCTCGGTCGCCATGTTTCCCAGCGCAGTCACCGCACTGACAGGAGCCGGGAGAAACCGGAGCCCGGAGCGCGCGGACCGGGAGCGCGCTCGCCTCGGAAAGCGCGAGAGCGAGAGCGCCCGGGGAGCGCGAGGCGAGCGTGGAAGGTGGGGGAGGCGGCCAGGCGCCGGGCGGCCTGCGCCGGGAAGAGGCCCTGCGCCGGGAGTGCGCGAGTCCGCGGGAGGGGGCGGAGTCAGAGCGCGCGACCCCGAGTCCGGTCGGAGGCGGCGAGTGCTAGTGGAGAACGCGGTGGCTGCACCTGGAGAGCGCGCGGAGGCGTCGGAGCGCGGCCGTGGAGCTACGGAGCCGGAGCCGGAGCCTCAGATGGCAGAAGACTGAGGGGAAAGGAGTGCACACGCTCTGGAGGTTGCGGGGGTGGACTCAGGACTGGGGCGGAGCCACACCGCGAGGCGTGTAACTCGTGGAGAGTGAGGGGAGGAGTGAGCTCTGCTGCCGAGTACTGGGAGCGGGAAGGAGCGGCCCAGCCTGAGAAAGGCCGTGGAGCGTTTCTGGGCGTGCGAGTAGCGCCCGATTGGCTGGAAGAACGCGGAACGGGTGCGCGCGAGACCTGAACGCCTCTTCAGCCGAGCCCCAGACAGAAGCAATCCCCTGCCGAGCCCGACGCTGCGGGTCGGCGCCTCGGTCGGGCTGTCCGGGTCTTAGAACTGCTCTCTGGAGGGCACTAGGGAAGCATGGGCTCGTGGGACCTCTCCTCGCAACGACCGACGGCCCCCCTGAAGGGGCCAAGGAACCTGGAGGTGGTTCTGAAAGCTGCGTGGGGGCCGAAGGGGGGCTAATGTAACAGAGCCCGCTGTGGGCGACGAAGGAGGGTTCTCGTCCCGCCTCATCTTTGCGGTTTGTGTCCTTCTTCTGCTCGCTCTGCCGGGGTTTTCAGCTTCCCCGGTGCTTTGGGATCCCTTCTCCTGGTCCGCACCCACGGGACGGTCTACACTGGCGAAGCTTAGGAATCTGTGGCACAGCCTCTGAGTGGAGCTTGCTGACTCTTCTCGACATTGACCCCACAGTTTTGTGGCCTTAAACTTCCTCACCACGATCGCTGCTTCTGGATGAAAAGCACCAAGCCTGGAGAGGAAGAACGTTCCCTTCCCTCCTGAATCACAGCCACGAGCTGGAAGTGGAAGCCAGACCCTGGCAGTTGAGTTTCATTTCAGTAGTTATGAGATGAGATTACCATGAAAATAGCTTTTGTTGCCACTTGTTTTGTGTGTTTCATAAAATGAGTTATCGCTTGTGGTTTGATCGCTTGTGGCTTTCGCACAATGGTATCCTAGTTCTCGTCCATTCAACTTCTGAGTTTGAAAACCCACACACAAATGTGTATATTCATATGGATATGTGCATTGCTGTGTGTGTGTATAAATATCCCCTGTGTTCTCAGTCATGGTAAAATAAAAAGGTGAAATTTTTAAAAAATGGATAATCACAGGTTTGTGCACAACGAAAACCTTCCGAGTTAGTTTTTAATTGTCCCATTAGACATGACGTATCCTGAAACTGAAGAGTCACGTTGTTACATATCTCATTTTAAATAGTGGATGTACAAAGGTGATGATGAATTGAGGTGTGATAAAATGAGTTAAAAAATTTTGACTATGTGTTGCTAGTACTTTTGACGATGGGTTAAAAATTGAAGCCAGGTCATGCGTGACCCCGCTCCCTAAATTATCACTATAGTGTGTGCTTGGTGGCCAAGCAGCTTCTCAACTAGTTTTAATAAGAGAGAGTGTGTGAAAGCGTGACTAAGAGAATGGTTTCCCTTACCTCAGCTTGAAAATAAAAAGCCAACGGTTGGTTACATTGTTATATTTCTAGACAATCTTTATTCTTTAGAGTACCCTCAAATTTAAAATGCTTAGAAAGGACCTTAAATTTTTACAGAGATATTTTCTAAACCTGCCAACTAATACATTTGTGACCTTAAAAAAAAATTGGCCCTTTTTTCTTCATCCTTTAAATAAGGTGGTAGACTAATTAAACACCCTTTAAGTGAAGTGTAAACTAAATAAACACCCTTTCAATTTAGACATTCCATAATTATGCGTGGAACGAAACTAGCACGTTTGCTTCACAAGTAAATAATGAAAAACAAGGGACTGATTTTCTGTATCTGTAAAAATAGTAATGATGAAATTCATTAGAATTTAATTGGCAGTGGTGACAATCTTTTTAAAATGTATGGAGGTTTGTTTGCTGAACTACTAAAATTGCTGAAGTATGAATAGAACTAAACTCAACAATGATAATCGGTAATAATATATACTTGTCTTTCCTCAAGTGTATTTATCTTTGCTGAGTTTAGCAAACTAACAAAATTTACACAGGAAAACTCCAGTGACCTTACTATATAATGTGACCGTTAGCTGATAATTATTAAATGAATATTGCAGTATGTACATATTCTTTTACCCCTGTTACAGTACAGCATTTCTTCAAAATTCATCCTGGAAGCTAAGATATAACAACATTTTCTAGAAGGTAGGAAGACAGAATCGCATTTTCAAATATTGCCATATATCTCAGGAAACGTGGGAGAGGAAGAGAACCAGGAATGAACAAGTGGACTTTCTATTTAGAGAATTAGAAATTTATGTTCTCTATCCATTCTTAAGGTTTTAACAATGACAACAGGATTTTACTTTCACTGTGATTTAATCAAAAGAAAGGTTAACATCTGCCTTTCATAATGACTTTCATGATTTAGATATGATTTACTGAATAAGTAAAGGTTGAGTTTTGCCTAGTCATAGTGAAACTTTACTCTCCTCAGACTTTAGCTTTCCTCTGGTTAATCACAATGTTACTGTAAATAAGGCAAAACTTACTGTAAGAGATGAAAGCAACATTTTGAACATATTTAATGCCTCAGAATTGCACTTTGAAATGGTAAGTTTTGTTATGTATATTTAACACAGGTTTTTTTTTTTTTTTTTTTTTTTTTTAATGAATACAGAGTGAAGCTCAGGATGATTTTAACCTGTTTTTCCCCAGAAGATCGATTATAGTCAAAGTGAACTTTAAGCTGGCTAAACTAGGCAATGTTATAGGTTGTCAGGCTGCTGTAACTAAGTACCACAAACTGGCTGGCTTAAAAGAAATACTTTAGGTTCTGAAAGCTGAAGTCTGAAATGAAGGGTCAGCAAAGCTACCCTCCCTCTGAAGACTGTTACTAGCTTTTAGCTGCACCACTCTGTTCTCCATCTTCACCTGGACTTGCCGTGTGTGTTTCATTTGCCCTTCTATAAGGATATCAATAAGTGAATTTAGGGTCCACTGTAATCCATTGTTACCCATTTTAATTAATTACCCTACAAAGATCAATTTCCAAAGGAGTCACATTCTGAGTTTCTAAGTATGTAAAATTTAAGGGACACTATTCAGCCATTATTGGCACTGACGGATTGAAATAATGTATGAAAACTTACACATTAGAAAAATCAAAATGTGAGAAAAGATTCATGGTTTCTTTAAAAACTAGGACTTAGAAATTAAAGATAATAAAGGTCTATAAAATAAAGAATACTAGGGAAATGTTTAATATTTGACTGAAGTATCCTAATGCTTTCTCCCAGTTGTTTTTCAAATTAGAATTTTCCAGTCTGGTCAAATAAATTTATTCATGCCACATAATAAAACTGACATGTTGTTTTCAGTCTAATGCTCTGGTTATCTTTTAGTAAAATGAAGCTGAGTCTCCTCAATTGCCCTTGGAGTTTGGTGGAACTAATTTGGGAACAATTACGACAGAGTTTTCCAGGGTCTGCCATGTTTATTGAAATAAATTTGAAAATTTCCTTGGACCTTTGATTTTCTATTTCTGCTGCCCAGATTGCTGCCTGGGGAATTACTCTGTGCCCTATTCCTTTGTATTTCTTCACCCTCACTCTTTCTTTTGACATCCTCAACTGGAAATCCAGATGAAGATATTTTAGTTGTAAATGACTGATCCTAGTTTAAATCATAAGGAAGTCATTGGCTCATGCGGTAGGAAGTTGAGACATGTATACAGTCTTAGAGTTGACTGGATTTTCAGAATCTGAAACCATACCACCAGGGCAGCTATCCTGCCAAGATGCCATCTTTCAGTTATGCTCTCTTGTTAATTCTTTCACAAGCTTTTTCTACGTAGTGGCAAAGATGGTATTGGCTTCTCTAGTATATAATCTAGATCAGTAGTTTGTGTCTCTAGGAAAATCTGGACACTCCAGGACTCTTTTAGAGTCCATTTTTGCAAAGTGAAAAATTTTTTATACTAATACTAAGGCATTGTCTTTCTGCTTTCCATATATTTTCTCAGAGTAGAACTACATGACATCTAATGATACCATTACTTCAATATATGTTTTTATAATTAAAAAATTAGTATAGTAAATAGTTATAGCCTATGTAAACAAAAGCTCTTTAAAGCTCTCAATTTTTTAAGATTGTAAAGTTTGGAGATTAAATCTTAAAGACCATGGATCTAAATACATGCCAATGCCCAAAGCACTAAGTAAGGCAAGGGGAACAGTATCTTCTGACTGACAGATCTGGATCATGTACTCAGTCAGGATGGGAATCAGCTGCATAACTTCCAGATGGCCTAAGATCAGGGAGGATGAATTTGAGTACCATATGAAATGCTAGTACCTTGATAGCATTTAGTTCAACTCTTTTTACAGTCTCACAGCTCTCTGGATTTTATTCTTTTCAGAGGGCTTTACTTTATAACGATGCGTAGTCTCTTACTAATATTCAGAAAATAGGGAAGTTCTTCCCAGGGGTGTCCTGACAATTTACAGTCACCTACTTACATGCCTGATTATTTGGTAAAATAAAATAAGGTACAAAAAAATTTCTAAGAAATCTAAGTTCAAAGTAGTAAGTTATAAGGAAGAAGATAGTATTTGCTAGAAGAGGTAGGGAATTATTAGAAGGGAAAGGAGAGTAAGATTTGTTAAATTGGAAAATAAAACTAGGTGGCCAGAAACCTGTAAATGTCTTCAAGTGCTCTACAAGACCTTCAGTATATGAAAGTCAAGAAAAGATTTTCCCCAAGCTTAATTGATAAGAGATTTGAGTTTAGGTGACACATTTTAGAAAATCAAAAGCACTGCTTTTCTTAAATGATTGTGAGTTGGTTTCCGTGCAATCAAATCTGGTTTAAAATCCAGCTACCCAGAAAAATACTTTCATCTCTATAAAGTAATATAGAAACAGGAAATTATATTTCCCTAAGTGATGTCATTTTCTCCTTGGTTGATTAGTAATAGAGGATATAAGATTTATAGGAATGTTTATAATGTTTTAGTTCAAAATGAACCTTAAGAAAAAGTTTAAAAAGTTAGGAAACATAAATGAATCTGTGAAGAAAACAGAGATGATAGATTTTCAAGTTGTTCTCAAAAACCTTATTTTAACATTTAATAATTACTTTCCATATTATCTGCTTGTGTGTCTCCTGCTGTGGGATTGATTGGTTTTAGAGCAAATATCCCTTTCTACCATGGAACCTTTTTTATCTTCCCATTTCTTAATACTTGATGACTAAATACCGACCATATGATGCAATAGAACTTTGAATTGTTAGCAATGCAGGCTTCTCCCAAAGTGCCACTGGAGCTGTAGAAATTTGCTTTGGCTTGTATCGAGGTTTGCATAAGCTTCTGTCTATAAAAGGAAACACCACCTAAGGTTGCCACAGTTCACACAAACTCTAACACTGGTTTCCTGCCTTGATCTTTAAGGCAAAATGTTACCTACTGTCATTGCCCTCCTTGATGAGTGCAATTCTGAACTAAAGATAGTATCAGCCTGTTGGTCTTATTTCATCTAGGAAAGACTGGGATGAATATCACTAACCACTTAGTGGCGATTGCCAAAAAAGCGCAATTTTAGGGGATCAAATGTTAGTAGTATTCCCTTAATACTTAGAAAGTCAAGTTAAAGTGAAAGGATGGGAGAAAGATCATGTGCACATTTAAATCAATAGCAGTAATGGGGAGGAAGTTCTCATAATTATAAAATATTTAAATAGTGCTCTTATTTTTTTAAAGATATATTTATTTATGCATAATGAACCGGGATACAGGCCAGAAGTGCAGCACAGTAAGAGGATTCACCAGAGATAGAGTGGGGAGCAGAACAGGCAGATCAACGAAGTACGCTGCTGAGAGGAGCAGTGGGCCAGACAGGAGAGATCTGCTGAGCCGTGTGGGTCACCTCCAGGGAAGGGATGGATCTCTCACTGAAGCGGCTGCAGCTAGCTTGCAGTGCTGCACCTTAACCCGTTGAGCCACCAAGGAGGGCCCAATAGTAGTACTCTTTTAGAACAATTATAAAATTGGGAAGCTAAGGTCTTGAAGTTAAATGACATGGAAAATAGTGGGTACAGTCAGATTATACTTCTGACTTTTGTTCTCTTTACTCTGTAATCAACTTTACTTGAACAGCCTCTCAGAACAGTTAAAGCACATTGGGGCTACATACATACACAAGTGACTTTTTTGAATCAATGTGGATTACACACTCGGTAAAATATGAAATTAACCATCTCAGGGTTACAGCTTCTATTCCTTTTGTGGCCAAGAGAGAAAGGGTATGAGTTAGATTGGAATATGAAGTGACAGTAATAATACCTAAGTCTTAACCAGCCTGTCAACAGCCCAAATTAAATATGGGACTTTGGACATATTAATATAACTGGACTACAATTTCCTCTTCTGTAAACCAAAGGATTTATGTTTGTTTAAAATCCTTTTAAATCTTCAAATCTGTGATTTTGTGGAAACCTTTTCCAGTCCCAAATTATATATTTAAAAAAAAATACCGTTAAAGATTTAAATAGACCTTGGGGAGAATATTTTTATTTCTTGGTTTATTTTGCTTCATTGCCAGAACATAAAAGGGAGCCTTCCAAATTATGAAGTGTTTTGTAACAAATCATTTACCCTCCTTCCCCCCCACCATGTTGACATGTACCTGTGGTGTCTCAGGGGAACTGCAAGTAGTTATGTAATGCTCAAGGTAGGATGTATGAGGGAAGAGGCACAACGTGAAAGATGAGCCTGGGGACACAGGCAGGAGGCAGATCATGATATGATCTATGAAGGCGTTTGGACTGTATTCTAAAGTCAATGAGAAACCAGTAGGGGAGTGACATGATCTCATTTCTCTTTTAGAAAAGATAGCTTCAGTGGTGCTGTAGTAGATGAATTAGAGAGACTGGAAGCAGGGAAACCAATTAAAAGCTGATGGTAATCCAGACAGGAAAAAGGGCCTGAACTAAACCACAATGATAGAAAATATTCAAGGAATAGATTCTTAGAAGGCAGAGTCAACCGGGCAGCTGGATGTGGTAGGTGTCTAAGAGGAACTGATGTCACATGATTTTCCTTACTTTGTATCCATTTTTGCTCATTTGCCAGAAGTGGGTCTACTCAGAATTAAACACTTCAGAGTTAGAAAGGAGCAACTTTTATGGTCTTGTTGCATACAATGTGCTTTAAATCTAGTCATCTCAAAATCAAAAGCTACCAAATAATCAGAGGCTGTCTACACTGAATAAAATCTTAACAGTTTTAAGGCCAGCCTTCTAACTAGTATGTCCATCCAGTTTGGTGGAGAGAGAGTAGGGAAACAGCACTAAAACAAAAGGTTGAGAGTTTAATTAATACAAATGACTGTGGCTAGTCTTTAAATCTGTCCAAAGCAAATGGAGGGAATACCTTCTAATCTTTCAGTGCTTCAGATAACAGTGATCTCAGAAAAACGAAGCCTTTCCTACCTCATCAAATAGACTTCCTTTAGCTCCTTGTTGTTCCCTGTAGTCTGTGACCCCAGAAATCTCTAAGACAAGGTATGAGGGGATAGGGAAGAGTCAGAAAAAAAGGGACAGCTAACACATCAAGTGCTCTGGCACTTTATAGCTACCTTAAAAAGATTACAGTAGAATGTACTTTAATAAATGCATTCTAAAATCTACACCCACTCTATTTAAGCCTTTAAAGTAATTTCAAAAGTCAAAGTAATACTCACATTAGAGTCATTTCTGCTGGTAGTTGCTCTGCCAATAGTCGTAGTTGCCATAGTACCTATTGGGCAACATTAGGAAAAACAGGGCTTCCTTTGAGATAAAAACTAGTTTTGAGTTAGAAGACTTAACATTCATCACATCATCATATAATGCATCATGGCAGGACAGATTCCACTGTTAGCACTGAAGTGAATTTTCTAATTGTTTTAGAAAGTGTTACATTGAAAGGTACATTTAAAGTTGAAGGGGTAAAACTTTTTTCTGTTGAGAGCTCATATCCCACGGGGTGGAAAGGGGTGGATCACTTGAGGATTACTTGCAAATAGGAAGAATTCTGAGAGCCTACAAAATGCAACTTAAAAAAATAGCAAATCATATGTATACAAATATACCCCCAGACAAGCCAGGTAGATACTCAAAACAAAACAAAACAAAACAAAACAAAACAAAACAAATGGATAGTGGGCAATGAACAAAAGACAAAGGTGAAGGTGGGTTAAGGAAAAGAGAGGAGGCTGTGGGAATGGCAGTCATAGACTGAGATAAAAGAAGAGATCCAGTAAAAAAAAAAAAAAAAGAATGCGGGAGAAGGTACTAAATAAATTCTGTAGTGAGTATATCCTAGGTTAGGATTGCCAGACTAAAATATTAGACAACTTGAACTTGGACTTCAATAAATACCCAACAATTTCTCTGCCCCAAATATGCATGGAAATGAAAAAGTTGTTTATTGGCTCTTCAGATTTAATTAGACACCCTCTTCCTATTTGCTAAATATTACAGCCCTTCCCTAGACATCCTGCTGCTCTTTTGAGGGTGTATGCAAGTAAGTTTGGAACCTATCATGATCCACTGAAATAGACCTAGAATTATGTCAGGAACAGTTTACTTTTGCTTTTTTCTCCTCCACCTTCAAATTTTATATTTAGGAAAAAAAGAATTTTATTCTCCCCTGGCCTTCTGTGGGTTTTACAGGAAGTGAAAGATGACCTAGTTGAGAAATTAACTTCATAACCTATTGATACCATAAACCTAACTGACATTCAAAAAGGTTCAATTTGCCTCAAAGCTTGAAAGAGCCTGCATTTGAGAGCAAAGTTATTTATCAAAGTCCCAGATTTGAGCTAGCTATGGGATTCCATCCCTGTCTTTCTAGTATTTTACCTCAATACTACTATTTTCCTCTCAGCAGCACTGAGAGGAGTATATTTCAGTACTGCTAAAGAGTGAAGTAAAGGTTAAATTTGGGAAGGATGATTTGCTTTCAGTATAGAAGGAATTATAGCATAAATCAGGTCCCAAGGGTATTCATTTCCCACCTCACTGGGCTTTCATCTGAATTTGTAAGTGTAGCAAAATATTCACAACCAACTTTCAGCTTCTTCTTAAAAGAGTTTAAGGAAATGTTCACTTTTTTGTGTTTGTTTGTTTGTTTGTTTGTTTTTTGCAAGGGGTGGGTGGAGTGGTGTAGGCAGTGGAGAGGAAAGCAAGGCAGTCAGAACCAAATGTCTTATCACTAGTTCTGTATTACTGAAGATAATCTTTTTATTTAAACATCAGCAAGGGTGATGGGAAATTCAACTGAATTTGAAGATTGCTTGTTTCTTTACTGTATGAGATAGATGTTTGCCAAGATTATAATCTGCTTTCTTGAATCTCCAGAAGCCAGGGGTCAAAACATTCCAGGATCAAATTGTAATTGTACAGTAGTTGGAAAGTAAATCCCTTTAATTGTGACCCAGATCTGAAATGACCAAAAGGAAGGACTTCACCTTAGGTCTAAAATGTTTTTCTCTTCTATAAGACTTGGTAATGCAGTATGCTAAACAAATAAGATTCACAGTGGTAATGCTTCAACCAGGGCCTCAAGGGAATTTGCAAGTAGGGATTGCTTAAAGTGTAACTAAGTCAGTAATGTTAGCATAGGATTATATTTTGCCAACCAAACAAATCATACCATTGTAAGGTAACCAATCAACTCACAGGACAGTTGATGTGGGAGGAGATTCTTGGCCAAGAGTGGTGGGAAAAACCCTCCCTCTACCTGGAAATGTTAGAACAGAAGAACCTGTACTCTTTTGCTGGGAGGTGTATTCAAAATTACATTCCATCCTTTGTTTAAAACAGATTTGTGAAATTTAATTCATTTGAAACTAGAAAAGGAACACTATAATCTTCAAAATATTGCCACCTTAAGCAATTGCCTAATCCATTTTAAAATGCACAGTTCTAACACCTGATTTACCTGTGGTAGAAAAGAAATAGTATTAGATGAGAATTGTACTGTGGGAAGTAGCTTCTTTTAGAATGGAGGGAAGTAGAATAAAGGATAGGTAGGGATTATGCAGTGAAATATTGAGTTTAATATGGGCTGTTAGTGATAACACCTCAGTGTCACAGGCCATAGCAGAAAACATCAATAGTACTTTTTCATTTTATATATAAATGTAGCACATTTTGTCCCTGGGTAATAGAAGACCAATCATTTCCACAGCATTTCACATTTCCTGAATTACCATTTGCGGATTGGAAGACTGGATGTGATTGGTGCCACCTACCGGGATAAATGCAGAATTACAAATCTGTCAACAGGTTTTGAAACTTTTGTCACTGAACAATCAACGTTAGGGAGCGTGATTCTTTCTTGGGAGAATTATATATTAGAGTGATTAGTTTGAACTCAAAGCCTTTAAAGGGATAAAGGTCATGAGAAATCACACACATATCTGCTCATTATGGCATCTTGGAGGAGATAAGCTGTGGGTAATGAGTCATAAAACCGGCTTCTCTGAATTTATTTCTTGTTCTTTAATACCTACTCCAGAGGATCACTGTGAGGTTAAATAAAACCATCTTTTCAATATGCCGTATAATGTGCCATAGTTGTGATAGAAAGCTAAATTAAACTGAAACACTTGCCTTGATCATTTACCTGGTCAGCTTCAAAGTAAGGCCTGCACCTCAGATATATGAATTAAATTCTGTTTTTTTTTTCTGTGAAATCACTTTTTACAAAAATTTGATGATGAGATTATTTTAGGTGGCAACTGACATAAATTTAGGTGGTGTTTTAAATACTATAAGTTACAGTAATAAAGAACTGAAGATACTCAATTATTTCAAACATAATGACATCAAAGAGAAAATTTAAACTTGATACTAGTTTTCTTTAGAATTCTGTATATGTCTTGCTAACCTCAATTCCCAGTAAAGATAAAACAAACTGTCAGCTTCAACATCTTTTTAGAACATTAAAATTTTGTTTTGTGTATACTTATTGTTTACTTTCTCTTATGAAAAACTATATCGGATTTTCATTTAAAAGAGTAATATAAATTTTACTTCCAAGGAATCACTAGGAAATTAACACAATGAATTTAAATAAAATATTGAATTAACAATAGTCAAAATGACACAGAAATTGGGAGATGGGGTACACCACCAAATTTCTTCCCTATCATTGCCATTGGTAATCTCTTAACATAATTGTTCTCAGAATCCCTCCATGGGTTTCTCAAATATCAAAAGTATTTCTACCATATGATTCAGCAATTCCACTCCTATGTATCTACCAAAGGGTGCAACAATACTAATCTGAAGGGATATATACACTCTTATGTTTGCTGCAGACCTATTTACAGTATCCACATTATGAAACCAACATAAGTGCCCAAGGGCAGATGCGTGCATATTTGTGTATCTGCGCATGTGTGTGTACAACTGGATATAACTCAACTAAAAAAAGAGACTCTGCCATTTGCCATAAAAGGATGAAACTAGAGGTGATCATGCCAAGTTAAATAAGTCAGAACAAAATAGACAAATGCCATATGTTTTCACTTATATGTGGATTATATAAACAAAATAAAAAAAAAGATAAAACCAAACCAATAACAAACCCTAAAAATCTTACTATAGAATTGAGGCTACTGTGTGTGTGGGGAGATAGAGTGAAGTGGGTAAGAATACAGTGAGTGGACTATGGTGGAGGATTATGGGCACCTTGAGCGTAGGTGTGGTGTGGTAACACGTCTAGAGGGTGTGATCCGATGCCTCTAAATAATATACATTGTTGAAAGTCAATATTACCTCAATAAAAATCCTTCATGGAAAGAATATTTCTTCTGTTTGTTTCAGTAAACACTAGGTTAAAAATAAGTCAACCTAACACAAATCTAGGACTCTACTAGATTTCAGATCCACTTGGTCTCAAGCAAACCCAAAGATTTTGTAGGTGGATGTGTTATGAAATGAAGATGGCCTATAATCAGTGCTCAGTGACTGTGAAATCAATAAAACACAGGACCAATGTGTCACTCACGCCTGTGGCTACATTTATTTATGGTAACTGAACAGTGTCATACCCTATCACTGGATTCTCTAGAAGCATAAAAGGAGAGAAGGGAGAAAGGTGTTGCTCTGCGGGGCTGTCCTAGTTCAAAGCTGATTCAATATTTTGCAAGCAAGGGGAAAATTAACCTCCTGAGATCAAGTTGACTGGAACCCTTCACTGTTGACTGTTCTTGGTTTGATTTGAACCCTGAGAGAAAAGATTTTTGGTTCGTTACTCTAGGGCTCCCTTGCGATAAACTTAAGCTAAATTTTGAATGAAATAAAAACAAACATCTGTCCTCATAATTTTCCTCTCCTCTATCTTTTAAATTCCTGTTTTAATAACTTTATATTGTTTCCAATAACGCTTCAGGTTCTTATGGGAGAGGAGAGTCTTTAGCTTCCTAATGTCCATTTTTCAATCAGAATATCAGTTAAAAGAAAAATATGAATGGAACATTGGATGAAGGATAGTTCATCTAGTCTTCAATTTTTTCTAATTTTTATATATGGATATAGAAAATCCATATAAATGTGTATGTGTGTGTGTGTGTGAGTATATACACACTAAATCATCTTGAGCTGATCCATCATTTAAATTTTAAAATTAGTGATTTCTTATCAGATTGTGCCAAAGGACATACAAGATATATTTATTCTCTGGCCTTAGTAGTAGTAGTAAAAAAAAAAAATCTATGTTCCTCCTGAGCAATTGGTTTATTGCCACTTTGTGGATAGTATGAATCCATGTTTCTTTTTCTGGAATTTTTCAGAACCAAGCTCGAAGCCCATTTCTGCCAATTACATAATATTTCCATTACTCATTTTCATACATTCACCTGGCTTCATCTTATTTTCCCTTTGTTTTGATTTAACTCATCTGTTTTTTTAACCTTATGTACTATGTGGATTTTATAAACTGTTCAAGACCTTTATGGAATATAAGTGAGAAGAAATTAGAGCTATGTATACTGATACTAGTGAAACAGTGTTGTCCTTTAGGCATAATTTCTCACTGTAGTTTTTTTTTTTTAAGTATAGAGTTTTAATTGATAAATTTCTGAAAATTTAAGAACCCATTCCTCCTGCCACTCAGAAGTCATTGCTGTATTCTACTATTACAGTAAACTATATGATTTCCTCTAACGATGTCATAAACTCATTGATGGAGTCACAGAAACTCCCAGGGAAATCCCTAGATTCATTGTCAGACATAGATCCACTTCCATTCTGAAGTAGCAGAGTCCATTTCATTGAGATTTGTGAGATCAAACTACTCTAAATCATAGGAAAGTGAAGGAGGTGGGGGAAAAGTTAATATTTCATAGAGTCCTAACTGCCTACTGGCTGCATATACTAAATACATAGGAAATTTACAAAGGAAATTTTAATTTCCTTCCAAGGAATTCTTACTTTGGTACAAAAGCTTCTGAGTAATAATATGGTGATGATAGTGATATAATTTAATTGCCTTCTAGGCGTTGTGTTGATCAAACTCTGTGCCTATGATATACTCTACCTACCTTGAGCTCCAGGGAGATTAAAAAATGTTTGCTTTGGCCCAGAATTCTGCTGTAAATACAGTGATAATTTCAGGTCATTGGACTTCTGGTAGTTCTTCAAGGCTCCAATTCTCAGCTCCATAACCTTGCCATGAAAGTCATTCTATAAGAGAACATTTTCAAAACTACTCATGGTCTTGGCTTCTCTAAATCCACTGTTACTTGAATGTTTTTTTTAATAGGAGTTTAAAAATATGCCATCACACTAAGTCCTTGAAAGTTGGGTAGAACGTTTTTCTGATGTTTTTCCATTTCAAATGGAACAAAATCAAGACCATAGGAAACAATACTACTTATCCAAAATTACTCAAGGAGAAGCTGGAGATAGGTCTCTCCAATCATTTCTCCATGATAAATTTCTTTTAGGAGGGCAATGGGAAATCCAGATGAGGGAAATATGCTTGACAGTATGAAACTAAAAACCTTCATTTTATCAGAATAAAACTGAATTATCTTATAATTATCTTATCTGAATTTTCTTAGTACCTGATAGATGTTGACTGGATCCTGACACCTGACCCATTCCATTTTCCTCTGTTTCTTTTCCTGGTGGAAGAAAGAGCCTCTGGGTGACAAAGTAAATTGAGACCAGAAATCAATATGCTGCAAATACTTTATAGAAAAAATCATCATGTCATAGTCACTAATAAGTTGGTTTCAACTTCAAAATTGTAGTAAATGGTATTACCTGGATAACCCATTCTCCCAATAATTAGAATCTAAGTGACTAGCATTATTTCCCATGAATGAGTTGGCTGTGGGAAGACTAGATCCATGCACAACACCTCTGGTAAGTGTTTTTGATATCAAATAGCTATATTGTTGGTATAGCTTCTGCCATTTTGTCTAGCTAACATGATTTCCCAGAAACTTGCAGTGTCATTCTGACTCAAGTATAATCTCCCTAGGGAACCAGACAGCATAAAAAATTTGTATCAGTTCAGGAACACACCATAGTTTTTCAGTCAGATTATTGCTACATTAAGGAGTTTGAATCTATCAGTTCTAAATGCCACCTCATTTCAGAAAGATCATACTACCTTCTTTATCTCCTTCAGCTCACATGTCTCCAGTTCACTCTTTATCTTCCTGGGTGATAAGGGGGGTTGGAGAACCTGTGATCAAAAAGGAAAGCTAGATGAATAGGAGGTTCCAAGAAAGAAATGCAATGTCATGACAGTAAATCCAGTCTATGTGAAAGGACCAGATAACTACTATCTGCTTACCCAAATTAGATCTGAGCATAAATAGGCTGTTCCTAGTTGTATGGCCTCAACAACTTTGAAATTCTAAGGACTACACAATACACTTGCCTCTGCATCCTGTGAATCTGCCGTGTTTTTTATCTGTGGTGTTTTCAGTTGATCGCTGTATTCTTCTGTGTCCAATGTCTGTAAAGAGACATTTTGGCACAGCTTTAAAACATGGCAACACTCCCACCCTTCTTGGTGTCACTTTCATGGTTTCAGTTGCCTAAAGTCAATGATAATCAGAAAATATTACATACAAAAAGATTTTGAGAAACAGAGAAAGAGGCCACATTCACTGTATTACTCTATGTTATTGTTAGTTTTTATTGTTCTTTTAACTATCTAATTAATCATTTAAATTTTACCATAGATATGTATAGAGAAAACATGATATGTAGGGTTTGGTACATTCAAACCTTTTTCAAGCAGCCACTGGGGATCTTGGAGCTTATCCCCTGAGGCTAAGGGGGGCTACTATAGTGGCATTAGTGAGGAAAGGCGAATGCCAACATGGGCAGGCTTTTGGTCTTACCAGTCAGCAACTTCTCAGGGCTTGACATGAAAATTGTTCTAGCATAAGGGTTACAGAATGAAATGGACCCCTCTACTTGGTTCCTGAGCATACCTTATAATAACTAAGAACTAAACTGTTATATGTCAATCACGGCTATAAGCTGTTTTATATACTCATTGAAGTTAGTCTACAACATTACACATATTCAACTCTCACAGGACTATTTTTATTTCCATTTTATAGATGAGAAACTTAAGACTTGGAAAAGCTAAGTCATTTGTTTTAGAGTTACACAGCTAGCAAAGTGTAGAGCTGAACTTTGAACCAGACTTCTCAGACACTGAAACCTATGTTTGTTTGTTTGTTTTTAATTTATTTATTTATTCGGACAGAACGGGTACAGGCCAGAGATGCGGAGAGTGAAAGGCTTCACCAGAGACAGAGTGGGGAGCAGAACAGGCAGATGGGTGAAGTACACTGCTGAGGGGAGCAGCGGGCGGGTCAGGAGAGGTCTGCCACGCCATGTGGTCACCTCCAGGGCAGGCAGGAATCGAACTCATGCAGAAGTGGCGTTAGCTTCTCAGTGCTGTGCTTTAGCCCGCTGCGCCACCAGGGAGGGTCAAAACCTATGTTCTTAATCACCATTTCTCATTGTCTAAAAATAGAGGTTAAGAAAGCCAGCTACAGACTAAGTTATAGGAGTATCCCTTGTAAAATGTCTTTCGGGAGCTTTATAGAATCTGGATTTTGATGGAGGAACTGTGCTGGCACATTTCCCATCACAAGAACTAAAGAACACAGGAACTGTAACTTATGCCAATTCACAGGTCTGATGTGTAGCTGGCCCTGAGAAATAGTTGCTGATCTCAGCACTAACTCCAGGACTTGAAGGTATCCTGGTTATTTATGGAAGGGGGCAATAACAAGACAGTCAGAGATCACATGACACACCAGTTTATACCACAAGGCACAGTCTACTCTTTCAGTCTCTTGGTCTGTGAAAATGCATTCAAGTCCAGGGACATAGTCACAAAGGAAATTTCCACACCTGAACTTATTATTCAGCAAAAGGACCTACTATTGTTATTTAAACAACACAGTCAGTTTTTGCCAAACCTTAGGGGATTTAGAATTACGTATTCTTTCATTTGTTCATCCCACCCAACCTTAACTACTATCTAATATTTTCTAAGGATTGTGCAAAGTGTTAAGGACTCATAAGTGAAAAAAGCAATCAAGATACTAACTTGAATTCCAGGGGAGTGAATGGAGACATGAAACAAAATAATAATGATAAAGTAATAATAATTTGAAAATAATGAGGTATATTTTTAAAAAATGCTGTAAATGATATGAACAGATTTGTATAATAGAAAATGAGTTGAGGTACTTTATTTTAGGTGGAGTGAACATGAAGGACCTCCCTGAGGAGGTGACCTAAAGAGAAAATAGAAGGATGAGAGTAAGCCAACCATGAGAAAATAGCGCTACAGGCTGGAGATAAATCAAGAGCAAAGGTCTTGACATGGGGAAGGTCTGGGCATGTCTGAGAAACCAAAAATAGGCCAGTGTGGTGGTTTCATAGTAAGCAGGAGGAAGGCGTCTCTGAGAAGGTGCTAGAGAGGTGGGCAGGAGACAGATTATGCCACAGTTATTCAGATATAGAAGGTTTTCATAAGAAAAGTGTCATACTTTCTTTTTAAAAGATCACTTTGATTGCTGTGCAAGGAATGGGTTGGAATAAGGCACAGGTGGAAGCAGCGACAAAAGGTTGGAAAATCTTCTTTGCATGATGGCCTGTAAAACAGTACTTTCAAGAGATCCTTAGAGGCACACCTTGTTCCATAGCATCTCCATTTCATTCCGAAGCATCTTGTTTTTCCTTTCCTGTTGGAGGAGAACCAAATAGACAGAAACATGTGTTTGTCCAGTTATTAAAGTGAAGTTGGAAGAAATTATTAAGTAACAGGGGTGAGGGGGTAGCAGGATCATAAACCACAAAGATAAACAATGAATGGACCTAACCCCAAATCCAGGAACATTAGAAATCAGTTTGATGATGATCATGATGGCAATGAAGATAAAGCAATAACAATTTTGAGTATAACTTTATTTATGGTAATTGTGGAATCATAACAATTGAAATGAGTTCCTTATGCAGCACGTAAGATCTTCTGATGGCAGTTTCTCTGGGACTTAGAGCACTTAAGTTGTCATTTTAAAGATTCTTTATATTGCTAATTTTTAAAAATCTCAGAACAAATTAATTTTGATCATTATTTTCTAGTCCTTCTGAAATGTACAGGATTTATATGACTGATATACTAAGCTCTAGATGAGAAGATCTTTAAAAGTTAAACAATCAGGAATTTTGTTCACTAGTCCTTGAACTTTGCAACATTTCATCCATTTGGACCACCCTTTCTAGATCAAGATTATCTAGAATTATCTGTATGGTAGAGCTTCGGATGTTAGAGATAAGTACTCTGTCTTCTATATTTGACAACAGTGGAAGTGAGCCTTGGTCAGGAAATCATTTCCTTGAGAACCACCAAATTCTTACCAGATTCTGTTTCATCTCTTCTGCTTCCTTAATAAGCTCCATAACTGAAGATTCATCATCACTTCCCTTCCCTGCCATGATTTGCCTCATGATCTGCAGACTAAAAGGAAGAGAAAGAAATCATATAACATCATACTTCCTAAAGAGTAAGATTAATATTCTGTAGCCAGTCAGAATGTTCTTTACCATAGGAATGAGATAGGAGCAGAAATCACAAATTATATCAAAGGGCTCTAAAGAATAATTCAGCTCCTAGTTAACATTTACTGTAGTGATATATCCTACAATTCTGTGTTCTATAATGCCCCAAACTTGGAGAACAGACATGGAGACTTCTTCCCACTCCTTCAGAAAATGCTTTGGTGTATGAATTTTGCCCCATGTGAAGAAGGAGGTCAGAATACTTACTGTCTTGGGGCCTTCCTGGTGGCACAACAGGTTAAAGCACAGCTCTATGAGCTATCACAGTCACTGCATCCCCAGCCAGGGAAGTGACACACATGGTGTCGCAGACCTTTCTGACCCACCCACTGCTCCCCTCAGCAGTGTATTTCCGTCTGTCTGCCTGTTCTGCTCCCTATTTGGTGTCTGGTGAATCCTCTCAGCCCCCACACCCCCTTGTTCTGTATGTATAAAGTTGATTACAACTTTCTGCCTGAATTTTGTTCTGGAAACATCTGCGCTTCCTTAGATAATTAAGGTAGACCCTCAAGGTGAATTACCTTGAGATTAGAAAGGAAACAGTTGATGGGTTGGTGGGTATCTTAGTGAAGTGATACAATCTCAACTGCCTACTATATTTGGAGTGGTTCCTTCCTAACCTAGAGGATTCTTTGGCTCAGAAAAGATTGCCATTCCACTGCTTGACATAAAAAGTATACAAACATCTGTTCTGAAATGATTTCACAAGCTTTAATAAGCATCTATCAATGTGACCACTGAATATATTTAAAGAATTTTAATCTGTGTCTTTGGGGGAACCCCCTAGGGAAAAAGATGAACACTAACCCTGTGAGATGAGGGGTAAGTCTTATTCAAACTTATTAAATGAAAATAAAGTATTCCTTGCCACTCTAATTTTGGGGTTACAAACTTTTACCTAGAGATGCATGGCTAAACTATTTTATTAAAAACTACAAGTAGCCATTGTTAGTCCTAAGGATTAAAGTTTGGTAGCCTTTCCACCTCCAGGAAATTCCAAGTAGAAAGCCCTTACCTGTTTTGTTTCTCCTCCAAGTTAGACATTAACTTCTGCAATAAGAGGTTGTTTTTATTTTCTAGAGGTTTTAGTATTTCTAGCAGTTCCTGCTTCCTTAGCTTTAACTCCTCATTCAATTCTTTCAGGTAGTTGTCCTCTATTTTAGAACTTCTGTAGAAAGAGACACCATAATGCCTGCCTTTAGTGATTTAATAATGGAAACCTTCTTTCCCTTCTTGGATTAATACCCATTGGCATCTTAAACACTCACCTTGTTTTGGAGGGCAAGCAAGAGTCTTCAGAGTCTGCACTACTCATCATCTTGGAGGGAAACTTTTACTCTAGAAATAAAGAGGTTTTCTTGAAAATAAGAATCTTCTTGTCCTATTCAGTTAAGTCATCATTTTTGTGTTGCTGGTCTTGAAACCCTTATTGCATTAAATTCATTTTAGCTACAGCTTGATGTCACAATGGCCCTAAGACCACAAAACCAACAGGTCTTCTAAGTAATTCCAACATCAATGGAAGCTTCTTGACTGAAAATACTACTGAGCAGTTCTGCCTTAGAGTTAGTCAAATGCCAAAATATTTATTCTGAAGTCTGACTGAATAGGAAAGAACCACAGTACTTCTATATTATGAAAATTACTTTGTTATAAAATAATGACAGGTCAAAAACTTCCTCAACATCATTTTCCATGACAATAAATCTCCACGGAGTGCCCTCTAGCTAGCTGTGAGGCACTGGCACCTACCTTCTAAGTATGTGGGCGTTGTCTCAAAGAGGTATTTTAAAACGACAGAGGCCAAATTGGTAAATGAAAAATGGATATAACATTGGGTAATGTACAAATATATTATCATTATTTTCCCATCCTTAAGATTTCTACTATTTTTTGTATTCATCTGAATGAACAGAAGATAACTGTAAGATTTTTATGTCTTTCTTTATGCCCTTCGAACACAAGGTCAGGATAATATTTTTAGTGACCTTCTCAAAGTGACTTAAATCATGTCAGTTTCAAGAATTAAGTGAGCATTTCTAGGCATTTTCTAAAGGCATTCCCCAAAGTAACTTAAACCTTTTTCTTCAGGGAAATCTTAAGACAGAATATACTAGTGGAACTTGAGATTTAGTTTGTCAGAACTTGGTTTGAAATTCAGCTTCCCTGTAAGCAGTTAGCTGACTGTGAACAGGTTACTAAATTCTGTGAGCCTCTGTTTGTACCAAGGGAATAAGAATGAGAATGGTAAATAATATTTTCTTGTGTCAGTGAAGAGTAATTTTATTATGTGAAGTTCTTGGCTCGTGTTGGGTGTTCACATTTTAACGAGCTTTTGTTTGGTTGGTTGGGTTTTAAGATTGTTCAGTGCCTTGAGTGTGCAAATACCAAAAAAAAAAAAAAGCTGCTTTATGTGAAGCTAATAGAGTTTAAGCTTTTTATCCCTTCTTTTTCAGAACCTCTTCCAAAGGCCCTCCACTTTGTATTCATAATTTTGTAATCTTTATTTAGGAAGCAAGATTCCCTAATTTTTTTCTTAAGATTATTTATGCTTACAGAATTGGGTACAGGCCAGAGGTGTGGTGGGTGAGAGGATTCACCAGAAAAAGAGTGGGGAGCAGAACAGGCAGATCTACTGAGATACACTGCTGAGGGGAGAAGTGGGTGGATCAGGAGAGGTCTGCATCACCCTGTGGGTTGGCTGTCTGCAGGCAGATTGAACTGTGCTGCGTGGCTTTGGAGAGGTTAATAATGTGGTGCTTTGGCCCGTTGCACCACCAGGGAGAGACAAAAGTACCTAAATTATATACACATTAGGATCCCACAGAACCTTAATGTGCCCTTAGTAAAATAGGATGCTTTTTTCTCCTATATGTCTTCTGTGTCAAAACTTCTTTCTAGGCAGTCTTGACAAATACTCTTTTAAAAAGCACATATATGTCAATTTTAAGTTTTATATGATAGATAATATGACATTAAATTAGAATAACCATATCAGTTAAAGCATTGTGTAATTCACATGGATTGTTCTAGGCATTCTAGTAAAGAGTTTGGTTGAATGAGGGTGTGCAAACCCTTCACAGCCAAAAGAATGAAGAGTTTATTATTTATTAGTAACTTTTTCCAGACTGTAGATATGGCAAATTCTAGAGGACAAAAATGGCATTGATCACTAAAGCATAACCTCTTTAAATTTCATGTTGTGACATTTGGCTGGCAGAATTATGTTAGAATTTTAAAACATTTAATGGGCAGGCAGCATCCCAACTCACCTTCCTTTCTGTCCTTGCTTGTGAATGATTGAAAGTGGAAGAACACTTGCTATTCTGATGTGATCTGTTCTATAGCCAATCAGCCCCTTTTATTTCTGAACATTCTGATGCCTGTTTCTTCAACTTACAATATGAATTCCAAGAACATCTGCCTTACAAAAATGTACAGACCCTATAAAGAACTTAAAACAAACAAAAAAGGATTAAAAGGCAATAATTGATAAATACATTATCTCTAGAATGTGGGCAGAGAGGGTGAAACTATAGATAATCATTAGATATAGTGAGGAGTGAAATTGGATCCTCCCTGGTGGCGCAGGGGTTTGTAGCACCGTACTGAGAGCTAAGCGAAGCTGTGGCTGCTGTGGCCACTTCCGCGAGTTCAATCCCTGCCAGGAGATGCTCCACATGGCCCTGCCGCCTGCTGCTCCTCTCAGCAGTGTACCTTGTCAATCTGCCTGTTCTGTTCCCCACTGTTTCTGGTGAATCCTCTCGCTGCAACTCTAGCACGTATTTTTGTTTTTGTTTTTGTTTTTTTTCCACAGGCCCCCATTTATTCTGGGGCCACCCATCGACCGGCCCCCCCCCCAACTGGGCATGAGGGCATCAGTGCATATGAGATGACAGCCATGAAGCGGGGTCCTGCACTACAACGAACAAACAGGCTGTGCCCTGCAGGTCACCAACCCCCAGGCTCCAGCCGCTGACCAAGCACCGGCTGACTCCTCAGCCTACGTCGCCATGGTGAGGCCTCGGATCCTCCGTTCTGCAGACACTGGCAGCTGGAGGCGGTTTCGGTCTGGACCCCTCACAGGGCGCTGGAGGCACCTCCAGTGTCCACCTCTGGCCAATGTCCACGTTCTGTATGAATAAATAAATAGAAAAAAAAAAGAGGGAAATTGAACACTAAAATTTCTAGAAGTATTGCAACATTTTAACTATATCAAATTGTCATGCTGACCCTTTAAACTAAGACCATTTAATTTGTCAATTATGTTTCAATAAAAATGGAAAAAATTAAATCAGAAAAAAAGTCAACTGTTGATTAAGGAAACATGGTAATAAATCTGGAAAGAATAATTACTTGAGGTCTGGAATATCACCCGAACAGTGGCAAAAGAAGTCAAGCAGGAAAGTGTGAAAGGATTGCCAAGTAGAGCTAAGGGCGAAGTTGAGTTTGGGAATTATAAATTTGTCATGGCATGAGTCAGCAGCTATGACGTTTTTTCCAACAGTTCTTGGCAAACTTCAAGCACAGTAGAGAGAACAGTGGTTGTTTGACCCAGGATTGGAATTTAGCAGAATGGAGAAGTGCAAGTTCAGGGGACAAAGGGGATGAGCGTGCCGGTGAAAGCATTCATGAAAAAGTAGATCAGGGAAGAAAATGAGGAGATACATGGCTAAGAGAGGGAAAGTAATGATGGAGCTGACTTTAAGGAGTCTGAGGGTGATAAAAATAGGATGTTATGGTCAGTGAATCAATGAAATAACTCTGTTGTGCCAGAATTCGAGTTTTCCAAAGACCACCAGGGAGCCGATTGCGATGTAAAGCACACGAGTGTCTTTATTGCAAGCTCAAGCCTGTGCTCCCAACATGCACCCACGCAGCGGCCGAAGTAGAGAGCCCTGCGCTCAGGGAAGGCAGGGTTTTTATTACAGAAGAGGGGAGTTTTAGCTCAGCAGAGGGGAATTTTAGCTCAGCAGTACATTGATTGGTTGACATTGAACAAAGTTATCTTGTCTTAACCCTGTTGGTCTATGCATGTAAGATGTGACCTTCACTACTCAGGCAGCATACATCAGGACATCTGGCACTTTCCTGATATGTACTGGTTACTTGCCTACTTGATAATTGGCTGTTGCTACGGGATGAGCAAGATTAGGACATTTACAGTTAAACTCGGCCTTGGTGCCTTGTTGATAACCGTAACTTAGGCCTGGCTGGTTCAGAAGCATTCTAAAGCCTGTCATGGCGTCAGTTTGGTCTTTCAACTCATGGAAACTTATCATTGTTTAGATAACTTACAGTAGCAAATTCATAACTTTTTTCCACATACAGTTTATGTCTGTTGCTTCCTGTCACTGCATAATATTCACTGAAATTCATGTGAGACCTCAAAATAGGCCTTATAATAAGTTATTCACAATGACCTCATCCAACATGATAGCATTTGATTTTAGTATCTGTTAAGAAAAAGCGTGATTGCTCTATAATTAGAGAACTCAGAGCAATAGCATTTTAGTGTTACTTTTCCAGTAGAAAATCAGATTGGTCTAATTAAGCCAGGTCTCCAAGAGTAAAGGCAATTATTTTCATAATAAAGCAGAAAAAAAAAGAAAAGAAAATGGAGATACTTTTCTGTGCTCACCTTCCTCAGCTTTAGTTGCAGCAACAAAATTACAGAATTCCTCAGGGAGGAAACTTGGGGACCTGTGGTCCTTTCTAACCCAGAGCCAGTTCAACCCTTGAGGACATTATAAGAATTTCATTAACTAAAACAAGGAGAGGTGTGCTGGCAAAAATCATAATAACAAAGTCCATGGGCTCTTAAAGAGCACCTCTCTTTGTGCTGTGACATTTTGTGCTCAGCTTCACCTTAACCCTTGCTATCCCTGTCCCAAGATCTTATCTACATTTTGAATGAACTCAAATAGCTGAGAAGATTGAGATTAATTTCAGGACTCTCAAATGCTCAGTGCTTTTTGTTGAGGTATTTTGGAAAATAATGCAAGCTTCAGGGTGCCAGCTACTTAGTACAACAGTCTTCAAACTGAGGAGCCTCAACTTTCATGAACATTTTCAACAAATGTAGATACCAGTGTCACTCTCAGGGAATCTTTTTTTGGATCCTCAATATATTTTTTTTAAGATTTATTTATTTATGCATACAGACCTGGGATACAAGCCAGAGGTGCAGGGGTGGTGAGAGGATTCACCAGAGACAGAGTGGGGAGCAGTACAGGAAGATCGAGGAAGTATACTGCTGAGGGGAGCAGTGGGTGGGTGAGGAGAGGTCTGCCACGCCATGTGGGTCACCGCTGGGGT